TTATATTGGGACAGAGGAAGAGTGTTACATCATCCTCTTCATTTTACATCTATGGAAACTTAGTATAATTTCCCAGGGTTTTAAGCTACTAAGTAGAGAATGCAGGATCCTAATCTTCAACCTAAGCTATCTGGTTCGATTACCTTTTGTAGATAACGTGTATGTGTGTGTACACACACATATACACTATACATATGTGTGTGTAATAGAATATTGAATATAATTTAAGTTACTAGAGTATCTTTAAGTACATAGAAAAATTTTCATATACATTTCTGATGTTAATGTACCTTTTCTTATTTTCTCTTGATTGTACTTTCTAAGGAATTATCTACCTTGGTTGTTCTCAAAAGTGTAGTCTCTAGTCCACTGGGCATCCCCTAGACCATTTCTAGGGATTTGCAAGGTCAAAATTATTTTCATAAGACATTATTTGCCTTTTCATTGTATTGACATCTGCATTGATGGCCCCTCAGCAAATATCAAACCAATGGCTCTGAAATGTGCTAGTAGTTATTGTATTTTCATGACCCCTCCCTCAGTCCCGGTAAAAATAGTATCAGTCACTGAAGAATGCATTTTCTGTTGAAATCCATAGCAATAAGAATGTGATTTTGTCTGTGTGTATGATGAAATTTGTCAGTATTTGGAAGATCTGTAAAATTCAGTTAACCAATATTTTCCAAATAACTAAAGATCAGTTTCACAAAGTCATACAGGAATAAAAGACTCCTGCAAAGAGTCAATACACCATTGAATTTCAGTGTAACACTGCATAAAGTTCACTGATAAGTTTCACACTCCAAACTGATTAATCTTCAAGAAACTGCTATTTGTGGGCCATTGTTTTGGTCAGCTTTTTCTCTTCTTCCACTAAAAGACCCAACCAGAACAACTGTAGAGAAGAAAAGGTTTATTTGAGGGCTCACAGTTTCAGAAGTCTTAGTCCATAGAAGGCCGGCTCCATTTTCCTCAGGCAGGCCTTGAGGTGAGGCTGAATATCATGGTGGAAGAACATTGCAGCAGAGGGAAGCAACTCACATGGCAATCAGAAAAAAGGGAGAGGGGTCTCCACTTTTCCATATACAAAATATATGCCCCATAGTCGCACCCACTTCTTTCAGCCACACCCCACCTGCCTTCAATTACCACCCAGTTAATCCCATTAG